ATGATAATGTTTTATGTTTATATAGAGAAGTAAGATCCATGCCTCGTGTAACAAGACATACATTCCTCGATTGGCAAAAGAAATTAATCAAATGCTTATGATTTATTTTTGGTTATAAGTGAGGTCCAAATCTCAAATGCTTATGACGTAAGTCAGATGTTTGTTAATCCTGAAATACCAGAGACAGATGAATTTAAACAACGGTATTTATCATTTTCAATGTTTTCACTTTATAATAGTATAAACTAAATTATAAAACTTATTTATAATCGCAGAGGTAATGATGATTCTCGAGCGTTAACCCTGGCTGAATCAAAATCGCATAGGTAATGTTGATTCTCCATCGATCCGTTTTGGGATTATGTTTGTTTAGAAATAATGTTTTTAGTTATGTTTTGACAATCGTGTAATGATGATTCTCGAGCATTAATCCTGGCTGAATCAAAATCGCAATTTGTTTTCACCTAATAATTTTCATTTTAAATAATATTTTATTTTTCTTGACGATTTATTGACTGATTTATTTATATGAAAATACATAGTGTTGTATAAAACAGATAAATATACTATGATATAATAAACGAAAATTGATTTATACTATATTTTCTGCATATTGAAACAGAAAATGAGATACTTGGAGTAACAAATCTCATTTGTTACTCCAAAATCTTGCAATATTTAAATTATACCTTATATACTTGGAGTTATCTTTGACTCTCATAAATAAAAATTATTTTTGAGTTACCTTTGACTCTCATAAATTAATTTAATATTTTATTTTATGGTCAACAAAAAAATACCCGCCCTTCTTAAGCGCGGGTCAAAATTGAATATTATTTTTATTGTTCAAAAATCATAGATGTAATTATTTTAACTAACATAAATAAACTATATAAGAAGTGCGAGTCAAAATTGAATATTATTTTTACTGTTCAAAAATCATAGACATAATTATTTTAACTAACATAAATAAGTTATATAAGAAGCACAGGTCAAAATTGAATATTATTTTTATTGTTCAAAAATCATAAATGTAATTATTTTAACTAAAATAAATAAACTCTATAATTTGATTAACATATTTACTGGATTTAACTACAAATTTGTAATACAATTTTGGGCATTTTCAATAGTATTGATTTTTCAAATTTACTATAGGCCATGGACCCATCCAATTTTGGTTTCAATCTAATATGTGTTTTAATTCTTCATACTCTCACAACACTTAATTTTTTGATTCTCAGTTCAATCAGAAACTGATTCGGTTATGCAAAACTCAATGAAAATATCCTACTAAAACGTTAAATATACATAAAATTTCACATATAAAACTATCATATAATAAAAATAGAGTCATTTGATACATTTTGTTACAACCAAAATAAAACCCGCGCTTCTCAAGCGCGGATCAAAATCTAGTTTAGAATATTGAAACTTTTTTTACATCCATGTATACTATTGTATAAAATGTGAACACTATGGATAATATAATTTATATGCCCTGTTAAATTATATCGATACTTTTTAACATATATATCAACTCGAGATAATATTATGTCATTAAACATTATATTATATAATTTTCTAATTTATGTTGTATAATATACTACTCTAAATAAACCAGAAACAAGCAGAGTGTTGGGCGATTTGTCTATGTATTGTTGTATATTAGTTAGTTATTATTAGTAATATGTTACAATAATAGTTGTTTATTTTTATTCTGATTATAAACACCTAGATACAATATGAAGATACTACTGCCAAATGAAACTTATAGTCCATGATAAATTTGAATGAATCGGAAAAACATTGTCATTAGATCTTGATTAAGTTATATTTCCTTAATGAAGTAAATCTCGGTGTCAAATACTGAATGCTCCAATTCAAAAAAAATTAATGAAAGTTGATCATGAAATTTGAGTCGATCAAATATTTTCAGAATGATTAACTTTCGTGTTTGTGGTGTTTCAATCAGTAAAGACCATATTTAAAATCTAATTTGACTATGATTTTTAAAAAAAATATGTAGCGGTCAGATTGTATCATTTAAAATGTCCAATCGTTACTCCCTCTGTTTCAATATAAGTGTCATTTTACAGCTATGCACACGGATTAAGGAAACAATTAATTTTACATATTTCCTATATAAAATACAATTACCCATACACCTAACCATATTTTAACCAATAGAAAAACAAATTACATAATAAAATTAATAAATTTTGCATTGAAAACCAAAAACGACACTTATTTTGTAACACAAAAAATTCTCTACAACGACACTTAATATAAAACGGAGGGAGTATAATATATCATTGAAATTTGGATTCTTTTGTGATCACCAAATTGGGGTGGTGTCCAAGCTAATGTCCAAAAGATTCATCTTATTAATTGTTATTTCCATGTATTATTTTGCTTCAATGGGTTAATTAAAAGTAATAAATATGCAAATTTATCAATTGTATCCATAGATTTATTACAGCGATTTAATGCTTTATACACTAGGTGTTTTGCCCGCACTTACGGGAATAATTCTCTTATGAATATTTATTAGTTGATGTTTAATTAATTTATTACTTATATTTTTACAAAGTACAAATCAATGTCAAATAAATATTTAAAAGAATATATTTCTATAATTATTTGGCTTGATTTATATTTAATTATAATATTTATACAAATAGTTTTACTTAATTTATATTTAATTATAATATTTATACAAATTTTTTTACTTAATTTATATCTAATTATAATTTTTTATATCTTAATTTTAAAATTTATAATAGAAAACATATTTCCAAGATAACAATACAATGCATAAGTTATTTATTTTCTAAAAATATGATACGATAATTTTTTTTTAATTACGTAATAATAAGATAAGATTATAGAAATTGTGACATATAATGAAAATTACTTAAAATCATGGAGAACTTAAAAAATTAGCAAATTCACTTCTTAAATAATTTTGCTTGAGTGGTGATTCATATATAATTAATAATAGATAATTTTCTATTTTATTTTTAAATTATATAATAAAAAAAATATATTTTCAAGATGACAACATAATACATAAGAATTACCTTATTTTCTAAAACTATAATATTATTAGTGTAATTTTATTTTAATTATAGAATAACTACAATTTTTATATCTTAGTTTCAAACTTCTAATAGAAAAATATATATTCAAGATAACAACATAATACATAAGAAGTATCTTATTTTCTAAAAATCTGATACTATTAATATAATTTTTTTTTAAATATATAATAAATTATAGATAAAATTAGAGAAATTATGATAAACTATCAAAATTACCTAAAATCATGGAAAATATGACAAATCAAAAAACATCTAATTCACTTCATAAATAATAATATAGATTTTTTACATTTTAATTATAAATTTTCTAATAAAATATATTTTCAAGATAACAACATACTACATATGAATTAACTTATTTTCTGAAATATCATATTATTAATATAAATTATTTTTCATTATATAATAATTAATAAAAACAATTAAAGAAATTATGATAAATGATCAAAATTATCTAGAATCATGGAGAAGTTGACAAATCACCAAATTCACTTTTCAGATAATTATTTTGATGATTTATATTTAATTATTAATAATATAATTTTATTTCTTAATTTTAAGTTTTATAATTAAGTTTTATAATAGGAAAATATATTTTCAACATAACAATATAATACATAAGAATTATCTTATTTTAGAAAAATATAAAATTATTAATAGAAATTTTTTTAGTTATATAATAAATATAATATTTTTTATATCTCAATTATAAATTTAAGTTTTATATATAAAATATATGTCAAGATAACAACATAATTCACAAGAATTATCTTATTTTCTAAAAAATGATATATTCATCTAAATTCGTTTTATTTATAAATAAATTATATATAAATATTAAAAGTATGAAAAATAAACAAAATTACCTAAATTTATGGAGAACATGACATCTCAGCAAAATTACTTCTTAAATAATAGTATAGATATGTGGCCCATATATTTGAATCGAGTTTGTTTTGAGGAAATTATCTATGTCTAATGTACCACTAATTTAGGGATAATAATTAGTATTTTTGGAATGAAAATAATTAATGAAATTTGAGTCAATCAAATACTCCCTCTATTCCTAAAAGATCCATATTCTAGTTTTTTCACACTTTTTAATAAAACACAATAAATTTACATAGCTTTTTGTATTTATCTTCTTTCCATAATTTTAAACCAATCAAAAATCAATTAGTGAAATTAAGTTTTTTGAAGTTTACAATTATTTAATAAAACATACGTTGAAAATGTAAAAAATGGATCTTTTAGAAATAATTTTTTTTCTAGAATATGTATCTTTAAGGAACGGAAGAAGTATTCTCGGAATGATTGACTTTCGTGTTTGTGGTGTTTCATTCAGTAAATACCATATTTAAAATCTAATTTGACTACAATTTTATAAAAAGATTATTTAGTGGTCAGATTGTATGAAATAGTTGAAGAACTTCCTTTTAATGCGCTTATGTAATGTATAATTTTATATGTAATGTATCATTCTTGATGGTAACCTAATTTTCACAAATCTTTTAGATCATTGATTTTATAAATCTTAATCCAATCTTGACTAGAACGCTTTGCAGAAATATAAGGTGCCATTCTAGGATTTCATTTCCAATATCACCTAGTAAAACATATTTAAAAAAAAAAAAGTAAAACATATTTTCATCAGCATAATATCGACAATAGTACATAAAACGGAAAAGATATCGTGTAGATATGTAATCAAATATAAAAAGTGATTTATTTAATTATTATTGAGTATCTCATCATGAAGAAAGATAGCAAATATTAATAAAGTGACATGAGTCACTCTATTACTATTAACTAAAATCTCCATAATTTTTATTTCGATTAAAAGAAACCTTACATTTATTTAATATATTTATCAAATCTATTCAAAAAGCCATTCCTCTAACAATTATATTTACAAACACAGTTAAGTGCATGTCCAGGAATTTTAGGATCGTCCAAACAATGTGCAACTGCATTGTAAAGCGCATAGCAGTCTTGAATACAAGAGGATAATATACATGTCTGTTCTTTGTTAATGGTAGTTTCACATAGCTTTCCCTCAGCTCTTTCAACCATTAAGCAAGCTACAAACAAAACAAAAAAAGCAAAACATCAACAGAAAGAAAGTATATATGTTAATATTTTTGCATGTTTAATTGAAATGCCAGCTGAAATTACCTGAGAATACAATCATGAGTACAAGAAAATAAGAACATGATAACTTGGCCATGATCTATATTCCTTGTTTAATATATTATCAATGAATGTGGGGTTGTAATAAGTATATGTCTATATATATATTGGTTGTAAGGGAATGGGTGTTCTTTTTCTTCTCTTTTTTTATCACATAAAGGAGAAATATTTTTTAAATAGGAAGTACAATAAAGGGAATATTCAAAATTAGATCACATTTTACTTAAAATAGACTTTAACTATTAAAGAAATAATGTAAAATAGACTTTGAATTTGACTCAGAATTGCACGCCAGTCCAATAGATTATTCCTTCCAAAAATACGAATGCTTTGGGTTCATGTTCCAACAGCCTAAATTTTTTTTATTATGTCTAGAAAAATATGTATAGAATAACGTGTCGTTAGAAAAATAGTTTACTTAAAAAATTTAATGATTTATTTTATTTTATTTTATTAAAAGTGATTTATTTTCTCCATTTCGCTTTTTGTTTACTAAAATAACTATATGAATAAAGGGATTTTACAAAAATTATTTGAATTATCAATTGCTCATATTCCACTCTTTTTATAGTACTTGATTTTTGTAAGAATGGATCTACTGGAATTTTATGCAAGCCTTTTTTTTCTTTTTCTCTTTTGTAGTTTTTTGATAATTTTGTTAGGGGCTTTTGTAATTCGCAAAACTCAACATATCATTGAGGTTTAACATTTTTAAACTTTGTGAAAACATAAAAATTGTGAAGTTGTTGTTGTATTTTATTATATGTTTTGTTCTATCAGTTAATTACATTTTGTATTCTTTTTGTTTCTTTAGATTTGTATAAAATGCTATTAAAAAGTATTAGAAGTCAACCAAGTGAACTGCAAATAGAAAAAAAAAATACAAGATGTAATGTTATTTGAAAAGTAACTAAGTTTTTAATAGTATCTACTATTTATGCTTTTTTAAAAGTAACTAAGTTTTAATAATATTTACTGTTTATGATTTTTTGGCACAAATATTTAATTATATATTTAAAATGTGGTAATTTTTTAGCTAAGATAAAAAAAGTAGCATTTTTCCGTCTGCTTTAGGCGCCCGAAAAGTCTGGACCGCACTGGAGGCAAATGATAAAACACTTGACAAAGAGAATGCCGAAGAGATTAATTATAAATAGAATGCCATGTTGGTAACACTCTTTGTGTTGGAAGCTGGGGCTAATGGAAGGTGAATCTAATGTCAAAGACACTCACATTATCTAATGTCATCCTCATTGCACACACAATGCAACTGAGACTGAAGCTAGTGAAATTTAGAAACACAGGAAATTATACTCTATTTCTATTATATACTCATATGTTTTTGGTTTGAATGTTGATTAATGGGTCCAAAGAAAGCCTCTTCGGCCCAATGCTGTAACTCCGGAACTTCACCACATCATATTTATTGGGGATGATGGACCTTTGAGTCCTTGACTCGTGAGCAGTGTTGGTCTAATCTATTTTTATACCCTAAGCAAAACAAATATTAAAATGCCTCTTTTTATATTTTATAATAACGCAAAATATAGATTTAAATATTAGATTTATCAGGGTAACTATATGATAAGTAATAAGTTTTATTTTGAGATTATAGTCAATTCTATATAACCGTTGACTACAAAAAAATCCATAAATCTTTATTTTATATTTACATAAATATTAAAACAATAATTCATTAATATTAGAATAATGAATAAAAACAACAAGAAAGAATATTATAATGGTAAAAATATTCTTGATATACTAAAATATATTTTAGTGAAATTTTCAATTAATACAAACTTTATAGCCTTTAAAATAAAATAAAAATGATAATACTTTTCATCAATAAATATTTAATACATAAAATACTAGATACTTACAATAATTACTGTTAATTTTTGATATAATAATTTTTAATTATAAGTGATAATAAACTTAATACAAAAATTTTAATTAAAATATGCCCTTTTCGTATTGGATGCCTTAAGCGATGACTTAACTCGCTTATACGCTGAGCCGGTCCTGCTCGTGAGAATACATAACTCTCATATTAAGATTTTCGAATGGATATAACAATATAAAGGATTTGTGGCAATCCACTTATTGGTAATTTAATTAAAACTTAAAAGTTCATCAAATTTAAAATGGTATTAGAGACTGAACACACACTGCCTAACCGAAGCAAATTCGATCATGCTCAGCATGTCCCAAATTGGTCATGCCAGTCTGACTTGAATCCTAGATTGGGATATTGTAGAATCTTGAGGAGGCGTGTGAGTATAAAAAGTTCATGTATCAAAGATTTTGGTGGAACATGAATATTATATAAGAAGAGATTTGGGTCAATCCACTTACATTCAGTTATTTTTAATGAAAACATAAAATACTATTGATATGTAAAGCTCCGAGCATTGGTACTGGTTCTTTTTGGACTCGCGTTGTATGGTGTGGTACGCCACAAAGAGATGATATTTAGTACACAAGCGTAGGAGCCCTCAAAGCTAAGATAATATGAAGCTTTCAGTATTGATCAGTGTTCGTTACTGTAAAGAGCGAAAGGCTTTTTAGAGATGACATTCACATGCTTATGTTTGCGAGCAGTGCAGTTTTTTTTAATATGTGAGTCATATCCTACTGTGATTCGAATTTCAATTATTAGTTTCGTGATACAAGCACAACACAAGAGTAGTTTGGTCGGAACAAGAATGATTTGTAATGAGTTGACCAAAATAAAATATTGTAATTGATTACGACTAAAAACAATTTAATGCTTGGAAATTCCGTTGGTGATCGTTATAAATAGGGAAGGAAATAATGATGGAGCTATAACAAAGGCGAGATGTGAGCAAACACTAATTGAGATTATATTTTTGAATAATTGAGACGTACGGCTGAGAATTCGTCTACGTGATCAAACGGTGGACAATCATTCTTAGTGTATTCTTTATTGCTCCCCTATTTATCTGAAGGACGAAGTCCTCACGCTGAACATAACAATATAACATAACATAACGCAGAGAGAAAACGTTAGGAGAGAAGAAGAAGATGTCGTGGCAAACTTACGTTGATGAACATTTGATGTGTGATGTCGGAGATGGTCAGGGTCATCACCTAGCCGCAGCCGCAATCTTGGGTCATGACGGTAGTGTTTGGGCTCAGAGTGCCAACTTCCCTCAGGTAATTCGTTGTGAATGAAGATTCCCATTTGATCTGTATTTGGTTTATAATATCTGGTTACATTTGATCAATCTCAATAATGATATAAAATTTCACTAGAAGTTCCTTCGAATAAAAAGATGTTTCCGCTTTGATACCAAACCAAGCATGTCTCATTGTCATGGACTGGACATTAGATTTCTATGTTACTCCAGTTTCATAATTGTCTAAAGTGTTCTTTTGATTTATATATTTGAAACAAAATGTTCTCTCTCTTATTTGTTAAAGAAAAGATGAATATACTCCCATTGAAATATTCCTTAATTCTCTTTCTGATGTTCATGATGATAGTTCAAGGGACAAGAGTTCGCTAATATAATGAAAGATTTCGATGAACCGGGTCACTTAGCACCTACCGGGTTATTCCTAGCAGGAGCCAAGTACATGGTGATCCAAGGTGAGCCTGGCGCTGTAATCCGTGGCAAGAAGGTAATGTAACTCATTGATTAACTTCATAACCATACATATATGTACATGAATGATCACAGAACATTATATATGCTGTTGGCTTTGATTCGGTAGGGAGCAGGAGGCATAACCATAAAGAAAACAGGACAGTCATGTGTGCTTGGGATCTACGAAGAGCCTGTGACTCCTGGACAGTGCAACATGGTCGTTGAGAGATTGGGTGATTACCTCATCGAACAGGATCTCTAGATCCTGCACGTCCTCAAAACCTAGTAGAATGTTCCACCATCCACATTTTTTTTATTTATAAACTTATATTTGGTATTTGGTTTATGAAGCCTAATTGAGAGGCTGTTTTTCTTTCGAGAAATTTTGTGTTTTCCTCTTTTATTTTTTATTTTCGTGCTTTGCTTCATTTTCTGTCAACCATGTTTAATTAATTTTGCTCTATTGGTTATTTTCTCTTTCTTTTTTTTCCCTAGTTGTCCATTTTCTTTTTTTTTTTTTGTCTGGTAATTGTGCATTTCTATTCTATTACATCAATGTTTACATATATAAAGAACATAATATATAGATAAAAAAAAAGAATATAGTATTTATGGGTTGCGATAATCACCTTCGTTTATAAACAGCTCGTCATTTCTTTTATCGAAGGCATCTCAGCTTCCTCTGTGCTCTCTCGGTTCGAAGTCGGATCCCAACCCGTCTTCTTCCCGAGCTCAAGTCAATTTGCTAGTCATCCATGACCTCTTACAACTATATATGCCAATGGTGCATGTGCTCTCAAGTGACTGTCCAATAACCCTTGCCTCTCCTCCATCAGGTATCTCAGCCCTGCTGCATGCTCAACCTCAACCGTTGAGCTCATATCCGGCGAGCTGCTAGCTGACATCAGCTTTACTCCTTTCTTTTTATGGACCTGGCTCATGAAGTATCTTCAAAGTGTCAGTTTATCTCCTGAGTCAGCTTTGCCTATAACTTGTTTTGTGTGTTTAGTTTTATCTGCTACTTGTACTTCAAAGGTACACACACAAAAAGGTACTTCAAACCAGTTTCAGTTACTACAGAAACACTTTTCTAAATGCAAAGAACTAAGAAACAATCACATTGTGTTTGCTTCTGTAGTCCCTATTACATCTCTACTTGTCTGGTTATTGATTTGATTAATGAATGAAATAATTCGGGTTTAGTTTGTGATGTTGTCTTGGATCAGTCACTTTGGCTGTTATTTTTATTAATTACATTTGACCCACACACACATGCATCACTAAAGCTCATCATCTCTCCAGTTAAGCGATGCAAGAAATAACCGGTACAAAAGTTTTATTAAACTCCGGTTTAGAACACTAACTCAAAACTTCACAACAGACAAGGTAACATTGACTGTCACCATACTAGACTCAAACTAAC